TAATAAGAATTAACATTTATCAAAATTAGTAACTTAATTAATGGTCAAAGTCAGTTTTGCATTTATTACTTTCCAAAATCGGTAACTCTTATGTCCATCTCACACGCTCAGCATTTATGTCCTTTTCACATGCCTTTTAAACTCATTAATTATACCGATTTAATTTTCATGAAATAACCCCAATTCACACGCCTTAGCCCACGCCTGCGTCCTATGGTAACGAAATAATCCCATTTCACACGAGCATCCTTATCACATATTTTTTTTATGGTAACCCTTTTAAACATATTTTTTTAACGATAAATTGAAGAAAAAAAATCGTATTATAAAGAGAAGATATCTGGGGTAATTTTAAGATTCAAAAACAAAATCTATACTTATATTAAAGAGGGTACTATTTACTAAATTAAGTAGCCAGAAAAGTCAACAGCATTTATTGAATTACTATTTTCGTATTATACTATATAAAAGGATATTCTATTTACTACATTTACTATCCAGAAAAGTCAACTGCATTAAATGTCATTACTATTTTGGTATTATAATATTTTATTTATTTAATTGATTTATTTATTTGTTTTATTTTAAAAAGGTAAGTATAATAAAAAGATTTTAATAATAAAAAAATCAAATACCAAATAAAAATGTACACTTTGACTTATTTGATTATATTTGGTATTTGATTATACCAAATATATTTCTATTTAGTATATACATTAAATACTTACTAAAGTATTTATTTGTCAAAGTTAAGTATAGATTTGTTTATATTATCAAATCATAAAAAAATATTAAATTCATATTGTAAAAAAAAAGATCATATAATTTTATAACAATTCTACTACACTATTTAACAATATTCCTTTTTTATTATATAATAAAATAATAATTAAATATTATATGGTGAACAACAATAAGTAAAACTGTTACTTTCTCTTATATCAAGGGATAAATTTATATGCTAAAATTAAATTTTTATTAGTATAAATGTTTTAGTGAGATAATATATTAATTATTTTACAAGCTAGCCCTAACATGCTCATATTTAATGTTTTAAAAGATGTAGAAAAAAAACTTATAATAACTCTATTGTTTTTTAGACTTAAACGTTGATTAAAAGAGGTAAAAATTCCTAATTTTTTAGACTTAAACGTTGATTAACACCATAGATTGAGAGTTTATATTTAGTAAAATTCCTAATTGTAATAAAAAAATTAATTTTTAATATATTTTAGAATATCTTTAAATTCATTATAAAAAAAAAAAATAAAAACTACAATGAAAAAAGCAAGTCAGCTATATATCGATTTGTTGTACTCCTCAAATCACATTCACAATTTGGCTACAAGGAAAGGAAACTCATTGATTAAAATATTATTTTGTCAGTAGTCTTAATGTACAAGAGACTTTAAGACTCCACTTGAATATTATAAAACTTTTATTGAACATTGTACAATTTCTTGCGTATTATAACTTTTATTAAATATTGCATCTTATAATATAATATTCTCCAAATAAATATATCTCGTTCTTCGCACGGGTCACATACTATATATATCATGTACATTTTTCTTTATTCATGTATATAATTATAAGCCTGAATAAATAGTCTTAAAATTATGCACTCCGTGCATCGCACGGGCTCTGTACTAGTCATTACTTAATAAAATAAATAAAAAAATATAATTACTTAATTATGCAAAATGTAACAGAAAGAATGGGAAAAAGAAAATAGTTGTCATAAGTTTTTTCCATATATATATATATATATATATATATATATATATATGTATAGGGGTTGGACGAAATGAGGATACTCTTTAAAATGAGTACGTAAGACAAAATCCTAGCCGTAGATTTTGTCTAGATAAATGACTCATATTCATCAATTGGAACACACACTAATTATATTATAAATAATATTAATTATTAAATTTAAATTAAAAATATAATAAATAAAGTAATTAACAAACAATGATCGGCGGCCGGCGCCAGCAGCCAGCGGCCAGCGGCCATTGACCGGCGACCGGCGGTTGTTAAGCGGTCAATGCCGGTTATCATCTCGTCACCTCACGAACTGATCGAAAACATGTGTCGTTCGACTTTCGGGGCCACTGCAGCCGACGAGAACAATCTGGCTGATACTGGCAGTAGGCTCGCCAGAGCAGGAGACAATATTCCCGGAACCCTACCTAACTCCACCACACGCTGTCCTACAGCAGATCTCCCACCAAATCGCCATGGCTTCTCTCGCTGACGACAATTTCCCTCCCCATAGAAGGGTTGGTTCTCTCGATCAACGCCATCCTGGCCGTCAGAGAAAGGTTCAATTTAGCTAAGATTCAGGCCGAAGATTGAGGTATGAGATGCGCAGAGGGTCTGACATGAGGGGACGGTCGAAGAGTCAGGCCGGGATCTATGGCAAGTATAGAGAGCCCTTTAAGATAGATGCCACGAGAGCGAGCTGCTTTGAGTTGTAGGCGAGTGAATCTATCATACAACACTATATTCCATCTGCAACCATAAGAACCATTTCAATTTTTTTACACGTTTTCAATGAATTTTGAGGGGCGAAGCCTAGACGAGCTCTTCTTAGGATGACCTACAACACAAGTGGCTATGGTACTCCCATCTCGCACCTTTCTTATGCGGATGACATCATTATATTCACTCGTTCAGATAATGATTGACTGGTCGAGCTTATGCACCTTCTAAAGACTATGGCTTGGTCATCGGTCAGCTTGTTAGCGTGCAAAAGAGCATCTTCATCCTCTCCCCTCCCATTGTGGATCGGTGGGTGTAGTGGGTCCACGAGCACACAGGTTTCGAATGCGGACACCTCCCCATCACCTATCTTAATGCCCCTCTATACAAGGGTCATCTAAAGAATGCGCTCTTTGTAGATGTCAGGCAGAGGATGATTGACCAGATCTCCGGCTGGTTGCATAGACATCTTTCTTTTGGTGGTCGGCTTGCGCTGATCAAGGGTACCCTCAGCTCCCTTCCACTTCATCTTCTTATGGTCCTCGATCCCCCTCAATCCACTCTCCGTGAGTTATAGAAGATCATGGCTCGTTATTTCTGAGCGCATGGGGAAGACTCTAGGAGGGGGAGACAGGTCCACTAGGTGAAGTGGGATTCCATTTGCCCGCCTTTTTCCAAAGGTGGCCTAGGAATTCACCATTTATCGGATGTAGTCACTACATTCTCTTATAAGATATGATGGCTCTTCAGCGAGGAAAAGTCTCTTTGGGGTCAATACCTTCGCGGGAAGTACTACTCTAGTGGTGCATGTCATCCCTGTAGGGTGACAATCACCACTCATGATAGTAGACAGTGGAGGCGGCTCACCAGAATAGTAGGCGTGCCCAGAAGCACATCTTCTGGACGCTTGGTGAGGGGGATGTTAGCTTTTGGGATGAGTGGTGGTTTGGTGAGTGTACGTTTTCGAGCACTAGACATGTCACTCACTCTCATTCTCTGCGGGTGAAGAGCCTGTGGTCCGAGGGGGCTTTGGACAGGGATATGTTAGAGAGGATGTGGGGTACTTAAGCAGATTTTTGTGACCAGTCAAATCCAACAGATTCCTATCTTTAAGGATGGTTTGGATGGTATGAGGTGGAGACTTACACCTTCGATGCATTTTCTACGACCTTGGCTTAGAGGGATGTTCGGCTGGGTGACCGGCCTAACCATCTCTTCGGGGCCGTTTGGACAGACCTGCTTACCCCGACCATCTCTGTCTTCCTTTCGTGTTTCCTTTTGCGCCGAATTTCGATCAACACTGTGATGCAGACGAGGGGGTTTTCCTTTTCGTGGTGTTACTGCTTTGCTGAGATGGACATTTGTCTATTGAGACTTTTTCCATTTGTTTTTAGAGAGTGAGGTTGCGAGGAGAACAAGGTAGCATATTGTCACGTATACTCATATACCCCTTCTTGCTACAGACAAATTTTTCGAGTTTTTAAGTTTTTTCTCACAGCGCACACACTTTAGACACGTGGGCTTCTTCATTCATTGTCTGATCATGTGGTCCATCTGGAGAGAAAGGAATATTGCGAAGTATAGGGATATTACTTTTATGTGCTCTCACATTGTTTTGCATGTTGATAGACATGTCTCTCTGCTCACAGCTCTAGGCAGACTCACACCTAGAGACTGGACAAGCTGCACGCCGTCCCGCTGCTTCGTACCATCTCCGCTGCCGCCTGTACAACACCCACGCCCCAGAGCCGTTGTTTGGCTTGGACCCGAGGACCCTTGGGTTAAGCTAAACACCGACGGGTCTTTCGACCGACTTACCGAAGCCGCTGGAGGTGGGAGCCTGATTAGGGATCACAGCGGAGCTCTCATTACCGCCTTTCATGCCTTCTCGAGTTACGATGCGGAGGTTCAGACGCTTCAGATCGGTCTTCAGATTGCAGCCTCTATCTCCTATCATATTTGGATAGTGCTGGAAGCTGCCGCTGTCACCATCCTCTTGACGTCAGGCCACCAGGGCCCGTGGCAAATTCAGCGCCCGCTACTAGATCTCGTCCATCTTCCGCGAGGGGAACAGGCCCGCTGATTTCCTCGCTTGCATCGGTGCCTCCATTCCCTAGAGGTGCAGTTTTTATCCAGACGACGCTCCTCTCCGACTCCATACTCTTGTGCGGATGGACCAGATGGGCTATCGATCGTTCAAATTTGGGTAGTCGTTTTGTATTTTTTTGTGCTTTAGCCCACTCGTGGTGCAGACTAATCGCCTGGGCTCCAGTCGGCCCAGGCTCAAATTTTTCCGCTTTGGTTGTTGTCTTTTCCTTGGTTGTTTCTATTGTTGTTTTTGTTTGCTATTTGGACGTGTAGACTAATGATTTTTCAGCCCAATTAAGGCCCTGACTATATACAATTTGGAGGTCCGACCTTAATCCCCTATCCTTCCGTAGTGTTTTTTCTTGGAAAAAAAAATAAAACTTATTCTTATTCAAAACCCTTTTCTACTTCATCATGAGAGATAACATTTAGACATTAGTATTATGATCAAGTTCAACTTCATTGCCTAGATCACTGAAATCCCTTAATGAAACTTGAATATCATCTTCACAAGAAACTTCTATAATCCCTTAATAACAGATCATTAATCAGTGATTTGCTGGCTACATTAGCGCGGACAATTAGCATAACTTACGGCTTGATCTGTGGTATCGGAGAATCAATTATTTCTTTAAATTTCTTATTATACTTCTGCATTAATTTTGCACCAAAGTTGGCACATAATCTGCTTAAGATCAAATTTCACATGGCACCGTTGTATCAATAATACTACCTGTGCATATAACATAGGCTGACCAGTTCTGGAGCATTTACTTATACTCTCTCACATTTTGAGCCCCTAAAGTGTTTTCAAAGGTTTATAGCCGAAAAAAAAAACAAACAAACATCAACACCATATTACATTTACATTATATTACATTTTGAATATGATTGGAAAAAATCATAAGTTAGCTTTTACATTATTTGATTAATTTATAAGGTTGTTATATGCAAATAAGCTTGATTTAGTAAAATGATCCTTTTTTTTAAAAAAAAAAAATTGAGATTATGAAGTTCCTTGAGTAGTGTTTTAAATAAGTCATTTGAGCTGAATTATTAATTAATTTTAACCACCAGCCATAAGTTATCAGTTAACTTATAAGCTATCAGCTAGCTTATCAATTACATTTACCAAATATAACCTTATTTACACAATTTATTCACAGGACATGCTAAGTCTGATTTTGCACTATTCATTAGGTACATCCGATTTCCTATATTTCTCCATGAGTATATTAATTGAGTTATTGGTTGAATTATATTAATTATCAATTTAAACTAAGATCAAGAGGTGTCCTAAAAGTGATGTCATAGGCTTTTTTTGAGTACTAGTAAAGTGCACGTGCATCGCACGTGGTGGCGAATATTTTTTGTTGATTAAGTTTAGTAAAATAAATTAATTAATTTATTAAACATATCATTGCAAGAGCAAAATAAAATGTAGAACAAATGAAGTCCTAATGTATTTGTTTTTTCAAAAATAACATAACGACGTACTAATATAAACAGAATAAAATAACATATTACAACCCCAACAAAAATATATGCAAAATGAGTCAATAATTTTTTTTTAAGAAACGACACTAAATATTAAAATAAAGACATAATTTATAATATAAATGCATTAGTTCTTTTAATTATTTATGTTTGATGATCAAGAGTGATTGTCTTTTATTTTAGTTTTGAGACGTTCTCATAAAAAAACATACGTATCCATTCGAGTTCTATACATCAATAGGCAAATTCTTCTTAATTCTTTTTTTTTTTCCCAAAACGACAGAGATAACTATATTAATAAAAACGAACACCGTTCGAATACAAACCAAACAAACAGCTAAAATACAAACTGAGAGACTCACCAAAGGTGGTCTAAAGCCGCAACTAGAACCAAAACAACTACACTCGGAGAACTAACCAACTAACCAAAGATCGAAGGAAAACAACTCGGACCACTGCTAACAAAATAGCCTAGCCATGAGAAAAATTCCCCAAATCATAACTAAAAAACCAAAATACAAAGAACTAGAAAAAACCAAATAAAAAGGATCTAAACAGCAGCATCCGAAGCAGCCGAGAATGATAGCCAATCCGAAAGAGCTAGCTTGACAATCACCTGTTCTGGAAGCATAATCCTTTGAAAAATCCAGATGTTCCTGGCCTTCCATAGCCACCAGAGCATATAGGTTGTAAGTTGAATACGCGCTTCAGATACTTCAGAGTTGTCCAGCGAACATATTTGAAACCACCAATCAGGAAAAAATCCTGTTCTATCTCGAAGGCCATCCCATTGCACTGGACTTATCTCCCAACACCTCTTAGCTCTAGAGCAATTGAAGAAAATGTGTTCAGAATCTTCCTGCAGCTCCCCACAGACTGAGCAGTTAAAATCCATCTGAACCCCTCGATGTATAAGGTTGACAGCATTAGGTAGAGTTTGAGACAAACATTTCCACAGAAAAAATTTCAGTTTCCCTGCCACTTTCAATTTCCAGAACCTGAATTTCACTCCCTTATTTACAGCAGCAGCATTGCTGCTTTCAGGCAAGTCAGCTTGCAAGAGTTTCAGATTTGACAAGTACTTATAGGTACTGGACACAGTAAAATAACCCTTCTTTTCTAACCCCCAATAAAGCCGGTCACTTCTAGCAGCATTCAGAGAGGAAATTCTCAATATAGCATTACAGTCATCAACATCAAAAACTTGCCTAATAAGCCACTCATTCCATCTGCTACTGTCATCATGCATCAAATCTTTGACCCAAATAAGGTGGTCTCTAGCAATAGGGATTAATACAGGAGCTGGTTTTGATAAATGGGGCACCCAGTTAAAATCAACAATTTTTGTACTTAACCCATTTCTCACTTCAATTCTCATACAATGTGCAAAAATTGGAAGAACATCCATCCAGCTATTCCACATCCAAGAGCCCCCTTGAACCTTTTTTGCATGAACAATAGAGGATTGAGGAAAATACCTGTCCTTGAGAAGCCTGCTCACAAGAAGATCTGGATTTGAAGCCACTCGCCATAGTTGCTTGCAGATTAATGCTTTGTTGAACAGAAGCAAATCATGGAAGCCAAGACCACCTTGCAGCTTAGGTAAGGACAGGCTGCTCCATTTCTTCCAGTGTATACCCTGAGCTTGATCAGACCCCTTTCTCCACCAGAACTGAGCACAAAGCTTTGTTATTTCAGAGCAAAGAGTAGAGGGCAGCTTAAAACAAGACATTGTAAAGGTTGGAAGAGCTTGTATGACAGACTTTAATAAGACTTCTTTGCCAGCATGGCTAAGGAGTTTTGATTGCCAACTGAGCAGTCTACTCTTCACTGATTCAATGAGATAAGCAAAAATCTCCTTTTTTGATCTACCTATACCCAAAGGCAAGCCCAAATACCTTGTTGACCTGTGAGAGGCAATCCCATTCATGACTGAGCAAATAGAAGTCTGCAAATGCTGTGGAGTATTCTTGCTGAAAAAAATGGCTGATTTTTGTAAGTTCACTGCTTGACCAGTAAAAAGTCTATATTGCTCCAAAAGATTCAGCAGTATCTCAGCCTGATCAGTACCAGCTTTACAAAAGATCAAGGAGTCATCAGCAAATAAAAGATGAGAAAGTAATGGGCCATTTCTGGATATTTTCATCCCTTTCAACTGTCCACTGCTTATAGAATGCAACAATAAGGCAGAAAGTAACTCAGCCACAATAATAAACAGGTAAGGGGAGAGAGGGTCCCCTTGCCTAATACCTCTGGTGGGAGTGACATATCCACTTAGAGAGCCATTAATTTTGAAAGAGAAAGTGGCAGATGAAACACACATCATGACTAACTTGACAACATCCATGTGGAAACCCATCTTTAACATGATTTTCCTTAAACAGCTCCACTCAACTCGATCAAAAGCTTTAATAAGGTCCAGTTTAATAGCCATGAAAAAGTTTTTACCAGAAACATGTCTGTTGAGGAAGTGAAAAGCTTCCTGAGCAATGATTACATTATCAAGCAACTGTCTACCCTCAACAAATGCAGCTTGAAAACCACTTATGCATTGAGATAAGCAAACTTTAAGCCTCTGAGCTAGAATTTTAGAGATAAGTTTGTAAACCACACTGCAAAGACTGATGGGTCTGAAGTGACCCATATTTTCAGGATTTTGGTGCTTGGGAATGAGTGAAATGATTGAGTGGTTCCAGTACTTGAGTATCATACCTGTCTGAAAGAAGCTAAGGACAGCTGCTATGAGATCTGCTTTGATTGTGCTCCAGAAATGTTGATAGAATGCTGCAGTCATCCCATCTTCCCCAGGAGATTTGTCAGGGTGAAAGCTGAAGAGTGAGGTGTGAACTTCTGCTTCTTCTACAGGCTTGAGTAGGGCTTGATTCATGTCATCAGTAATTGAGGTAGGAATAAGAGGCAGCAAAGTGTCACCCCCTAAGCATCCTTCAGAGGAGAAAAGGTTGTGATAGAATTCAGCTATATGCCTCTCAATCTCCTTCTGAGTTGTGAATGTGCTGCCTTGAGGTGAAGTTATTCTAGTTATTGCATTACTCCTCCTTCTTTGCAGTGTTAGAGCATGAAAAAACCTGGTATTAGCATCACCATCTTTAAGCCATTTGGATTTAGCTTTTTGTTGCCAAAATAGTTCCTCCTGCTTGTGAGCTGAGTTGAGATTCCTCCTTGTAGCCTCCCAGTCTTCCCAATCAATGCTTGATTTGTCTACATTTAGGCTTTCCAGCTTCTGAGTAAGAACTGCAATCTCCTCTTGTCTTTGAGAATGGAACCCAGAACTCCACCTAAGAAGTGCAATCCTTGTCATTTTAATTTTCTCCTTCAACTGATAGAAGGGAGTTCCCTGTACCACTGTAGACCAAGCTTTCTTAACCACCACATCACAGCCTTCCATGCTTAACCACCTCTTGTCAAAATGGAACATGGTTTTCCTCTTTTCTCTAGGTAAACCCTGATTTAGCAATAGAGCAGTGTGATCAGAGGCACTCCTTAATTTGTTCAGGATAGAGGCATTTGGGTGATTCTGATTCCACTCCAGAGAAGCAAAGGCTCTGTCAAGCTTTTCTTCTACCAAGTCAGGGGCAGCTCGGTTGTTACACCATGTGAACTGTGGTCCCTCCATTCTTATCTCCTCCATTGCCATGCCATTCACAAAGCTACCAAATCCTGCAAAAGAGCCTTGAGTTCTTGGAATACCACCAGCTTTGTCAGAGTTGGAAAGAATGTCATTCCAATCCCCTATTACAAACCAATTGTTCCCCCAAGAGCCTTTATCTCTCAATAAAATCTCCCATTGACTTGTTCTGACAGCTCTGATTGGACTCATATAGACAAACACACCCCATTGTACTGGTGCAGGATGATTGACAAATTGGACAGCTATGTAGAAATCTTTTAACACCACTTGCTGAATACCCACATGATCTTTCCAAAAAAGGGCCAAACCACCACTTAGACCAGAAGGATCAATGGTGGTGAATCGATCCTTAAAACCTAATTTTTTACTAACTGTACAAACAAAAGCTTTAGTTTTTTTTGTTTCAGAAAGGAATAGAAAATTGGGGTGATGAGTTTTTATCAACTCTCTGATTTGGGAAATTGTAGAGGGCCCACCCAACCCTCTACAATTCCACACCATGGCTAACATTGACCACTTGGGTGCCACTCAAGGCTGGCAGCCCCCACCTTATCAGAAATAATGATTTGTTTGGAGAAGTCACCTTGTTTCTGCTGCTTTGAATCTTTTGAGGATGCTGGTAGCTCACTCTCTGTTGAGGCCCTCTTAGAACCCGAGATGTTGTCAATAACAATAGGTGTATGTGTGACTGGCTCCCTTTGAAGTCTACCTGTCTTGGTCCCAATTCTTTTCCAGGTTTTGGCTGGACCCGTTATGGTGAGCACCTTCTCGTTCTTTTGTGTGGTCTGATCAGCTTCCCCTGGGGTATACAATTCCATCTGCTGTCCAGCATCTTGGATTGCTACATTGAGGTTGTCAGAAGGCCCAGTCTCTGGAGCTTGAGTTTTAGAAGAGGATGAGATGGAAGTAGCTGGGATCAAATGGTTTGGTGAGAGGTGATTATCCTGGTGATCAGTGGCTGCCATTGTCTGTTTCTGAGTCTCAGAGCTTAAAGGAATGATTTGGTGGTTGCCTGACTCAGGTTGACTGGTAGATGCTTTGTGAGAGTGTCTCGGTTCTGAGTGGGATGGTGAAGCTGGTGGGGAATTTCTATTGCCTGAGTGTCCTCCTGCCCATCTCATGTTATCTGGTGCCTTTAACCAATCACCATATTGGCCATCCTTGAGAGTCTTGTTTTTAATGTCTTGCAACCTTCGTTGACAGCTTCTATCTAAATGACCGATCTTTCCGCAGTAATGACAAAGATTCATAAGTTTCTCATATTTAAACCCAACACTGACTATTTCGTCCCCCAATCTGATATGAGCTATTCTAGGAATAGGTTCATCTAGATCAAGGGTCACCAGAAGGCGCAGTAATTTGCCCCCATGGCTGCCAGCGTTAGCTATAAGCACATTATTAACCTCTTTGAAGGTTCTGCCAATTTTCAGTCCAACTTCAGCACTCATCCAATTCAGAGGGAGATTAGTAACTTGAGCCCAAAGATTGATCTCCTGGAAGCTTTTATGTTTGCTATTCAAATTGGCAGTCCACTCCCTCAGAATTATATATTGGTTCTCAAAACTCCAATTCGAACCTCCGGCAACTCGTTCTTTATCCTCTTTACTTTGGAAGATGAACTGGAAGTAATTGGGACTGAGTTCCTTTACCTCCATTGGCTGATTGAGTCTCCATATTTGTGTCATCGCTCGCTTAACTCCAAACCATCCAGCTATCCTATCTCCAATTATTTTCCCGAATAAACTCCGCTGGCATTCATCATCGCTCAACCGAATATCCTCTTGTGCTATATCAATTACATTAACCTCCCTCTCAGATAGGGAAAAGTCGCCCAACCGTTCAGATATATCCTCGTCCGGGCTAAATCTAGTCTGCCCCGCCATTCCGAACCCTAATCAAATACGATTTCTGGATTAACCAGAATGAAATGCGATGAGCAACTGACGAGTGATGGTAAAACTGAAATGGAAATGGAAGAAAAAAGATCGAAAAACTTTGAAGCTCTCAACGAGAGAATCGCAAGCTCTCAACGAGAGAATCTTTTTTGTAAAAATCTAATTCAAATTCTTCTTAATTCATTAGGCAAAAAATCTAATTTATTCAAACAATGCAAAATATTTTGTCTAAACATATAGTCAAACTCTATGATTATGATCTTTATAAGGTATTGTTAATAACAGTTAATCATGAATATCTCAGTGAAATAATCAACCGTGTCATTAAAATTGTTGATATATTTTTTTTAAACTACTTCATTATTCTCTCTCCATATAGACAAATTGACACCTCCCACATGGAGGCATCGCCCCACGGGGTGAGAATGAGTTTCATTTCTAAATAAAAGTTGACCTTTTAAAATCTTGGTTACATATACTTCTCCCGAGACGCTAAATTATTATTTTTTTTAAATCATCACACATTACATGAAAACTAAATTATTTTTTTGAAATCATCATACATTCCATGAAAGTGTATACTCTAGAGTAATTGCACATATGTTCGAGCACAATACACCAATGGGAATTGTAAATATTTCTATCAAAATATGATAACTTCATTAAAAAATTCAATAACATTTTGATCATGCCCCGACATTTCCTTTTCAATGTTATTTATTTAGTAGATAGACGAACTATATAATATGTTGTTTGCAAATCATTGAGCATCTTGGTTGTTCCAATGATGTTAGACGCTTTTATTATCCAAATTTTTGCATCAATCATAATGTTTCGAAGATTTATGATAAATATCTTTTCTTGATTCTTTAACAATGAAAAAAAACAATGAAATAATATTGAGAAACATATCCTTTGTTAAAATATTAGAGAGGAGAAAAATTAAATTTCTATTATATTATAAAACGTTTCACCATCTGTGAACTTTATTATCACAAAGTCATTATAAAAATAAACATTATGTATTACAAAGTTTTAATTTTTTTAATTATGTAAAAATTCAAAATTTATAATATAGAATCAATATTTATGAGAATTTAAACGCCAGTAATAAAAAATGTAGTAAATAGAAAAGGCTTTTGTTTCTAGATGTTGATATTCATATTTCTCTAAAACAAATTGAACTTCTTTTTCCTCATTCCCTTACTATTGTTTTATTTGTTTCTTATTGTATTCACAAATAATATTTTTTTTGTTAAAAGAATTAGAGCATATTTATATGAATTGTTTAATTTTTTTACGCATTTTATATAATCATGTTGTTATCAAAGTATCTTATTTATTCGGCTACAACTATAATCACATAAGATAAAATATAATTTAATATTACTTATTTATTTATTTATAATAATATATATTTGATAAAAATGTACTTTTATACTGTTTATAAGATTAAAAAGTTTACAATTTCTTTTTTCAATGTTTGATGAAACATTATGTAACTAACTCATTTTCATATTATATTTATTAAAAGTATATGTTACAACTATTATGGTGTTCCCTTTTAAGAAGTATTGAATAATAGTTTAGCATACTACTCATTTATTTCTCTTTTTAGTTCACATAATTAAAATTGACAATAGTTGTAAGTTTACATTTATTTTTTTTCCTTTTTTGTAGTATAAATATTTCAAATCTATGTAAGAAAATATACCACACGTATATCTTATGTTATTTTATACTTAATAATATTTATTTAACATGGAATTATAATCTATTTTATGAGATGCTTTTAGGTCTATTTATTATTTTAATATATTTATTTATATATATGTATATTATTTTATATCGTTAGAAATAATTATAATATTTTTATTTTATTTACAATAGACTGTCAAATCAAACACCATTGGAAAGAAATGGTGTGATATATTACATATAAAAGGATAACAAATAAAAAAATGTTAAGTATTTCGAAAGTGAAAATTTTAATGTTAGAAAGTAATGAAATATTTAACTAAAAAATTAATACTAATATCCCTATTTTGAATGAAAAAAAATTATGTACTTAAAAGTTCTAGTTCAAATAGATGTGCATCTTAGGTGTGTTTTATATTTCTCATTAATCAGCTCCAATTGATGGATGACATTAATGAATTTTATTACTTTTTTTTTTGGATTGAATGCGAACTATAAGCTTGAGCATTGTAAAGTTTAATTTTTTATTACATAGAACATCGTTCTTAACTCTTGTTTAGTTATTATAATACTAGTAAAATAGGTAAGAACATTTAACCTAGATGTATCTTGTTTGTTTTGAAAAAATTACTAATTATAATAAAGTAAATTATAATTACATTATATATGTTATATATTCAATCATTATCAACAATTTTCATAATAATTAATTGCACACTTGAAAAAAAAATTAATTGCACACAATAGTATATATAACGCAAATTTTTTTATTGATTTGGAGAAGTACCTTTGATACAAAAAAATGATGAAATTCCAACGATAATTTCGACAAAAATATATTACAATCGAATTTCAACGACAGTTCTAACGAATATGTAAATGTTATTCCTTTCATTTGAATTATTTCAATGAAAATTATAACAGAAATATTTTGTGGGAATCATGGACAAATCCATTTTTTTAACACGGTCGACACATGGCCACTTCCCAAAATATACAGCATAATGTATGTAACAAAAATTGTGGTAACATTTTTCATTATTTTAATCATACCCCTTATTCTAAAAGTAAAATTAAAAGAAAGAAAGATAAATAATGAATTAATTTGTGATTCAACCAAATGGAAAAAATAATCAAACAAACAAATAAATAACGTTTTATGTAGGATAAAAATTCAATTCAATAAATAAAAGGTGCAATTTCTAAATGTAAGAGTGTATTTTTCTTAATAAAGAAGTAGCTAAATGAATTGATCCACTTTTTTAGTTTGTTAGATTACTATACCAATGAATATTCGTTATGATTTTCAGTGGAATGTCTGACCATTGTATTTTTTATTGCAATATAGCAATTTTTTTAAAACTTAATTTCATGTAGTAGTTTTTGTTATTAATTAAAGTAATTACGATTTTATATTAAAATTATATTAAAACTAAATTATTTTTCAAAATATCAATTATATATCTTTTCAAAGATTTGTTGTATGGGTTGATTTTTTGGAGATATGAAAGAAGCATTTTGACAGATATGTGAAAGAAACAAATTCGTTAGGAATAATGGTATGAAAATGTTGAGGTTAATTTTTAGGAGATCTAGAATGTTTTGTTCGTGTATCCATATTTATTTAACTAAATATTAATTATTGATTAAAAATATAAGATATGATGAGTATTAGTGTATTACTAATTTACCATTAAAAATAAGTCAAAGTAAGGGTTTTTTAGGTAGTTCATTTGTTAATTAAAAATATAAAATCAGATGAATATTACAGTATTACTAGTTTGCCATTAAAAATATGTCAAAGTAAGGGTTTTTTAGGTAGATCATTATTTTTACAAAATCACTCTTCCTTTTATAATAATATAGATTTTCTCTAAATAGTGAGATTGTAACAAAATAATTGGATCATAGGTTCTGATAGTCCTTATTCCGAGAATTACACAAGCTAAACCCATATCTTTCATGTTGAATTTTTTTTCAATATCCTTAACGTTTCCATGAATACTTAGTGCTAATCCTCATGATCAACATACGTTAACATAGAGAGCAATAATTACAAATGTATTTATATACTTTTATCGTGAACACATTTATCAAATCAATTGATTTTAAATCTATTTTATAATATTACGTCATCAAATTTTCAATTGTCATTGTTTTAAAACTTGTTTCGGTCCGTACAATGATTTTATTAATTTTGTCACTTTCTTCTCTTGTTTCTCTACTACAAATCTTTCAGGTTGTTCCATACATACACATATTTCTTGTTCCCAGTTCATTGTTCAAAAATATCATTTTGACACCCATGCCTTGAATCTCAAGATTGTGCATATCAACAAAAAATATAAACACTCGAAATGATGCTATAAACGTAATGGCGAATAGGTATCAAATAAATCAGACCGTTCTTTTTGTTTGTCTTTGACAATCAAATGTACTTGAACTTTTGAATTGTCCCATCAACTTTATACTTCCTCTCTAGAATCCAAATGCACCCCAAAATTTACAACCTTGAGGAATTCAACAAACTCCCAATTTTGATTTCACATAATGGGACCTTTTTTTTAGAGAAAACCACACCGAAGAGTGGAAGTTTAAGGTATGATCCCAAACATGTTCATAATAAAGACCCCAATTGAGCTGAAAATGTCAACAGTGCACAAGGTACCAAACAAAAATAGAAAAAAAAAATCCATGGTTTAAAAAACCAGATTAGGCCGACCAGTTGGACCGGGAACCAGTCAGTTGAGTGGTTCAGTTTGCTGGAATGAACCGTTACCAGCGAATTGGTCAAAATCGTCAACGACCGGTTGAACCGGTCAAAACCAGTCAGAACCAGCCAAAAGTCGATCAAGTTGGATTGGTTTGAACTGAGTCATTTTTATTAAAATAAATTTGAATATATTTTAAAAAAATTAATATAAATAAAAAATCTATATTTAAATATAATGGATGCATATAAATTATTATTAGTTAGTGTAAGTGGTAAACGCAAAACACTCTGACCGACTGGAAATCGGCTTGCCTTCTTTCTCCTCGCCGGTAGAACGCCGCGTACTGCAAAGAACTCTCACACCGGAGGGGTTTTCCGGTGAAGAGCTTCCGATGTTTAAGTCAGTGTTTGTTCTACTCAACTCTCAAGAGTAAAAATGGATAAATCGTGTTAAACAAGAAAGGCTCGCCCCTATATATGTAGGGGTGAGATATCTGCCCTGGGAGCTGCCCGGATTTGATGAGCTGTCTGCCCAAAGATGCCCGGATCTGCCCGTCCGTACACACACAGTGTGCGTGTGTCAAGTTGAATTTCACTTTCAATCCAACGGTCATGTTGATTAACCCTTCACCTTTCCTTCTTCAACCACCTATAAATACCCACACTTAGGATTTTTCGGCTTTTTCCACCTTTGCAAATATTCAGAATCACTTGCGACCCCATCCTTACCGCGACAATGAGTAAGTCTTCTACACTATGTGCTTGTGTGTTTTTCCTTTGTTAATTTTCGATTTTTCGATTTTCCGTCTTTTCTTTTTCGAAATTTCATTCACGCCCTAGCCACAAAATCTTCCTCCTTTTTCTTCTTTGTTTTTCTTCGAAAACCCTAAAGGTCTTCCCTTTAACATCTATTTCCTTTGCTTTTCAGATTCTGCTACTTCCAGTGAGAACGATCATCATTCCGGCAAGGACATGTTTTCCCCCTCATCATCCCCACATCTCCGACCTATACCTCATTCTCCTTCTAATTCTATTGACGAGATATACGAGGCCGTTCCCCTCAACGTGCTCCGCCCTTCCGATTATTCCACACCTTCTCCTCCGCCCCAACCTCATAGTGTGATCGATGAATCACACGAAGATACTCTCGACCACATCCCTCTTAAACGCCGATCCCGACAGGCATTTGGTGCTTTCGATGACGCCGAAGCAGCCCTCGATGCTGTTGAAGCGGCTCGTGGGGCCAACGAGGACCGCGTTCCTCTTTTCCGCCGTTCTATCTTCTTTAAACTCCCATCTTCGAGTAATCCCAACGTGACCACTACCTCTAAATCCAAATCCAAACCCTCGCCCCCTGCCACTTCTTCCAAATCGGCCGCCAAGAAGAAATCGACCAAGGCCTCTTCCTACGGGAGGGGCCCCTCATCTCCCCTTGTAGCTGGGTGGTTGGAGTTCGACGATGTCGGCCATCCCTCTGGCTGGGGTCTCATTTCTCCCCGTTCCCATGATACTTACGACCATTCTCCCGAAAATAACTACACTTTTTTCGAGATCCAATTCAAACTCGGAATCCGCTTTCCCCTATGCCAAGACCTGCTCGATACCTGTGATTGGTTCGGCCTTCCCCTGAACCAACTTCCCCCAAATGCCATCAATTTTATTCCTACCTTCATTATCCTCTTTCATGTTCGCCTAGGTCGATTCGACCTAGGCTTTTTTCATTATTGCTATATGCCCTTAAAACAAGCTCAAAGGATTTACCTAAAGAGTCGCAACGGTGCCCACTTCATCTCGGACACTCCTTCCAATTGCCATAAATGGAAGCGAAAGTTCGTGTATGTCGAGCCCGACACCCCTGACACAAGGAACTCCCCTTTGAGCTCGAAAATCCTGAGCACGAGCCTCTTTTCAAGCAGTGTATTGCTGTGTGGAATTCTAAATCGATCACCTCCAAAACCCTCCTCGAGAATGATAACCTTCTACATTTTTGCGGCCTTCTCACCCACAAATATCTATCTCCTCCTACCCAAGAAGTCCTCGATTCTATTCGAATTGAGGACGATCCAAGTAATTTTTGTATAATGTGCTCGAATATTGTTGTGTTCAGTTTTGGATTTAAACAATTTATTGTGGTATTAACTTGTTTTTGTAATTCTTTTGTAGAGATGCCTATTGTCCCTGTTATGAAGAGGTATGTTCCTCTTACGAAAAAGTCTGCTCAAGCCTTCGGCTCACGACCATCCGATTGGACCACATCGCAGCCGGATCGCTCGGCCACAACAGAGCCCGACCATACGACCTCCTCCATGGAGGTCAAACCTCGCACTATGCCCATTCAAGAGCCGGTTATCGAGGAACAATCCTTACCTTCCTCGACCGACGTCCCAATCAGTGAGCACCCCGAGCACCCCGAACATCCGCAACCGACCTCTCCACCTGCTGGCTTGACCATTCCTGTGGTCGAAGTACATGCCTCCCCGAACCCCCATCTGGTCGAGCAGGCCCAGCTCAAGTGTCCTTTGGTCGAGGGGGATGAGGGGACCAATAAGTGTCCCCCCCTAGAGGAGACTGTTGTCGTTTCCGTTTCTGTACCTCCATCACTGACCAAGGTCTGCCAGGAAGAGCTGGTGTCCTACCTCCAGAACATTGTCCCTGCTGGCGATCTTAAAGACGACAGTTGGATTTGCAAAACCCGCGGGTATCGTCTTGCGCGGTGGTTGGCGAAGGTAACTTCCAAACTATTCTTAGTATTTTTCCTGTTTTATTACTCTTGCACGTTTTTTGTGTGTTAATTCCTTTTCCTTACGGCGAGCATAGGGATTGGTCGAGCTTGTTCCTTTGGTCGACCAGACTGTGACCAGTGCAGGCTACTCGATCCCCAAGCTCGAGAAAGGGATCTGTGTTCTGTAGAAGAAAGCGAACGAGCATACCGCTCGGTGCCACGAGCTTCGTGAGCAGCGGAGGGTCGAAGCATTGAAGGTGAAGGCCCTCGAGGGAGAGAAGTAGACCCTCGAGGAGGAGAAAATGGCTCTGGCGGACGCGCTCGAGGCTCAAAAAACTGCTCGATCACAGGACAAGGCGAAGTTCAGCAAGAAAAGAAACGCCTAACTGACCTTGGTGCTCTTCGTGGTCGCCAGATGGTGTGGTACACCAGGGTCGGGTAGCTCTTGCCCTATGAACATTGCGAGCAGGTGGTGGCCGAATTCATGTGGTCACTACTGCTTTTGAAGGAGGTGCAAGAGTTCGGAGCCGATTGTTTCCAGTTCGCCTTGCAAAAAGCGGGCGAGCAAATACTCGAGGATGAGTTCGAGGAGCTCGATGTGGAGGCTATCTAGCACGGCATGCCTAAGGTGCCCAGGAGCTTCCAAGGCAATCCTGACTTGTTGCTCGATCACGAGTGGTGGTCAGGTATCCTCGAGCGCACCTTAAATAGCAAAGATACTCTGAAGAAACATTTCATGCTGCCCGACGGTGTAACTCCTTCAACTTCCATGAGGCAGGCCATTTCCGAATCTATCCGACAAAGACCATTATCCGACATGGCTGAATCGACCTCTGGCTCAAGTCAACAGGTCGAGCAGCAGCCCGAGCCTACTCCAGAGCAAACTCCTCTCGATCCCAATGCCAACACCGAGTAAACCTCCTAAAATCCAAATGTGCCTGCTCCTTGAGCATTTTGTAATTTTACTCTTGCTGAAAAGATTGTACTCTTTTTATTTGAATGAATGAATGTTGTGCTTGTTGATGTTTGTTGGCTTCCTTTTTATCTTTCTGCTCATTTGCATGTTGTTGTATAGCTCTGTATATAGTCTTCTTTGTTTATGACCTTATTCTGTTTGAGTCATGTTGATCACATACTGATCCACGTCCTGGCTCATTGTCTTAGTCCTAATGGATTTTTCACCTTTGAACACATGCCCACCTTCAAAGGGGTAGTTGATACAAGCGACCATCCAGCCTCGTGGCCTTAATCATGATGGATTTAAACATCTTTGAACACATGCCCACCTTCAAAGAGGTGGTCGATACATGCAACCATCCAGCCTTTTGGCCTTTAATCATGATGAATTTTACTCCCATGAACACATGCCCACCTTCAATGAGGTGGTCGATACATACGACCATCCAGACTTTCGGCCTTAATCATGAGGGATTTTTCTTCAAGTAATCTGCAACTGGGGTTACTTCAAATATTCCAAGTAAAATAAATCGACATTCAAACAAGTTGTGGAGCTTGCAAATGCAGTTTCATTAATCAAAAGTGGGGAGGTCGATACTTCATTTTCGAAAATTTTTTAGAAAAGAAAAACTTTAAGAATAATATCTCTTCAATTACCCACATTCCATGACCTGGAGAGTGACCTTCCTTCAGCGTCTTTGTGCGAGTATGCTCCTCTGGCATGGACTTTTTCGACCAGGTATGGTCCTTCCCAATTCACTTCTAGCTTCCCGACATATTTCAGCACGTCGACTCTTTTCCGAACCAGGTCACCCACTTGGAATCTTCTGACTTTCACTTTCCTGTCGTGTGCTGCTCGCATCCACTGTTTGTATGCTTCGACCCTGATCGAAGCTCGTTTCCGAAGTTCTTCAATTGTGTCAAGAGCTGCCATCATCAGGTTTTCATTTTGCTCTTGATCATATGTGCTTGATCTCTGGGACTGGACCTCGACCACAACTGACAGTAGTACCTTCATGCCATAAACCAGACTGAATCGTGTTTCCTCTGTTGCCGACCTAGGCGTTGTTCGGTATGCCCAAAGTACTGAAGTAAGTTCATCGACCCATGCCCCCGACACCTTCTCCAGCCTCGTTTTGAGGCCGTTCAATATGATCCTGTTGGTCACCTCGACTTGCCCATTGGCTTGCGGATGAGCTACCGATGCAAAATGTTGCTCGATCTTCATGTCCTCACACCATACTAGAATCCTCTTGCCATTGAATTGCGTTCCATTGTCGGACACCAACACCTTTGGGACTCCATACCTGCAACAAATATTGTTATATAAAAATTGTATGACTTTCTCCTCCGTGATCTTGGCCAATGGTTCGGCCTCCACCCATTTTGTAAAATAGTCCATTGCCACGATCAAGAATTTTCTTTGCCTCATTCCTTGGGGCATTGGCCCCACCAGATCGACACCCCATTGCACAAATGGGATAGGAGCACTCATTGTCGTCATCGCCTCGGTTGGTTGATGGATAAATGGACCATGTTTTTGGCATTGCAAGCATTTCATCACCATCACCTTTGCGTCCTCCTTCATCGTCGACCAGAAATATCCCGCTCGCAAAATTTTAGCCACCAAGGAGCCCGCCTTGCTGTGATCACTACAACATCATTCATGAGTCTCTCTTAATACATAAAGACCTTCCTCCCGTGTAACACATTGCAAGTGGGGCCCTGCATATGACCTCTTATATAGCATCCCTCCATGCTCAAAAAATCTTCTCATCACTTTCACCCCTCGTTCTCTCAACTCCTTTACTATCGAGGCTCTCCAATCGTCGACCACTTCTATTTCTACCATTTTAGATAACAGATCTGCTCGACCATTCTCCTCTCGAGGTATCTGCACCAGCTCAAAAGAACTAAATTCTCCTTGCAACTTCTTCATCTCCTCTACATATCTCTGCATCTTCCTTTATCTCAAAGTCCTCCTGAAATGGGCCCACCACCAACTGAGAATCATAATGCACTTGGATCTTTCGAGCTCCTCCTGCTATGGCTAACTGCATCCCTTTAATGACTGCCTCATACTCAGCCTCGTTGTTTGATACTCGGTATCCCACCTTGACTTCGAACTCCAGGCTATCTCCTTTGGGCGAAATGAGCACAATACCCAATCAACCCCCCATCTTAGACACCGATTCGTCCACAAACATCTGCAAGACTCCATCCAATTCTTCTTCCACCTTGGTTCCATCCTGAACAAAATCGGCCAGTGCTTGCGCTTTGATCGCCCTCGTGGGCTCTTATACTATCGTGTACTCACTTAGCTCGACTGCCCATTTCACCAGTGGACTTGATACAGAGAGTCAACCTAACATTTCACCCAGCGGCATATTCGTCCGCACCTTCACCTTGTGGCTCAAAAAATAAGGCCGCAGCTTCCTCACCGTAACGACCACCGCCAAGGCACACTTCTCGATCTCTGAATACTCCTCTCCGCACTTGCATCACCCTACTTACATAATAAATTGTTAACTGCACTACTCCTTCTTCCCGCAGCAGTACCTAATTCACCGCCTTCTCCCCAATAGATACATACAGCACCAAGTCCTCACCATGCACCGGCTTAGCTAATAGGGGTAAGTTGGACAACACTTTCTGTAATTCCTCAAACGACTTCTGGGCCTCTTCAGTGCATTGAAATTTTGAGCTCTTCCTCAATGTTCAGAACAGTGGGCCACTCTTATCCGCAACCTTCGAAATAAAACGACTCACGCCTGCGTTTCGACCAGCCAGGATTTGTACCTTCTTCACCTTCGTACGAGGCTTCATCTCGATCACCGCCCGCACCTTCTCCGGGTTTACTTCAATCCCTCTCTTCGTCACCATGTATCCCAGAAATTTCTTTGACTTCACCCCAAAGGAACACTTAGAAGGATTCAGCTTCATACCATATCTCCACAATGTCAAGAATGTTTCCCTCAGGTCCCCCACATGATCGGCCTCCTCCTTGATCTTCACTAACATATCATCGACATAAACCTCCATATTTCGCCCAAGCTGCTCGTTAAAAATCTTATCGACCAACCTTTGATACGTTGCTCCAGCATTTTTCAGACCAATTGGCATCACCACATAGCAATAAGTCCCCTTGCTCGTCACAAAACTCACCCTCTTCCTATCCTCTCGGGCCAAAGGGATCTGATAATATCCTTGGGATGCATCCATCAAACTAAACAGCTCGAAACCTGCAGTGGAGTCGACCAGTTGGTCAATCCTCGGTAACGGGTACAAGTCCTTAGGGCACGCCTTGTTCAAATCACGAAAATCAATGCACATCCTCCACTTGCCCTCCGACTTTGACACCATCACCGTGTTGGATAACCACTCGGGGAATTGAATCTCCTTAATATGGCCCACCTTCAACAATTTTCCGCCTCCTGCTCGATTACCTTATCCATCTCCGTCCCATGATGTCTCCTCTTCTGCTTCATCGGCCTAACTGTAAGGTCGATACTCGGCCTATGCTCAATCACCTTCGCCTTAATCCCCGTTAACTCCTCAGCGGTATAGACAAAGATATTCGCGAACTCCTTTATCAACCTAATCAGTCTCGATCTTATTGGCTCCTCCAATTCCTTCCCGATCCTAAACTTCCTCTCCTCGAAATCTTCCACCATTTGAATCTCCTCAATCTCACCCCCCGGTTGCATCTCTGCCTTCTCTTTTCCTTTATCGGACTTCACCTTTTTCTCTTTCGACCTCGAACCACCAAGTCGACTTGCATCTCCTCACCCAACTTCACCTGCATCTTCGCAAGTTGTTTATTGTTACTCACTGTGGTTTGGTAATAGCTCCTCAAGGTGACCTGATCTCCAGTGATCTCACCAACCTTTTCACTCATAATGATGTTGTATGATGACTCCGCTCCTATGACCACATACCTCACCATCCTCACTTTCCTCTTCACTCATTTCCCCAAAGCAACGGATAAACTTACCTCTCCCACGGGCGTCACTTCTCCTTCGTTGAATCCATACAAGGTTGTGGCTACCGGCTTTAGCTCGACATTTAGCTATTTGTTGATCTACACAAAACAGTCATAAAACATCACATCAACCGAGCTTCCCATGTCGATAAACACCCTATTCACATCGAAACCTGCCACCTCCGCCATAATTACCAATGCGTCATTATGGGGCAACACCACTCCCTCGGTATCCTCTGCCCGGAAACTTATCTCGGGCATTCGGGCGGTAATCCCTACCTCCTCTCTCTTTCGCTTCATTGC